CTTCAGCGTCCGGCTTCTTCCACGTGGCATACTGTCTTCATGGCTCATCTCCGTGGTACCATGCATCAGCGTGTAATCCATTCCTTTTCATGGCTGAATAATATTCCACATTGTTTATCCATTCACCAGTTGGTGGACACTTGGGTGGACTTCGAGCTGTGGTGGATCGAAAAAACCATGCCCATAGGTTCCCCAGCCACACTCAGCCTGGGGCTCCCTCCAGCCTTATCCTCAAATACACAACGCGCTTGCCAACTTGCAGCCTGACTCTGCTGTCATGTCCTGGACAATCTGTGTCCCCTTGGCCTCCGACTGGTTCCTTGAATATGGCCTCCTCCGAGAAGCCTTCCTGCCCCCCTCCAGCAGGTCCCAGTGACCTCTCCTGGCAGCCTCCCTGAACGCACTTAGCACAGCTTCACACACCCAGGCTGGGGGCAGCTCCACCCACTGCACTCATTTCTCTGAGAGGGCTTCCTCCACTTTGGGCTTGCAATCCGTTCTCAGAGGGCAGGAGTCAAAGCAGCTACTCTCGGTCCCTGACCTCTGTCATGAGCACATACTTGGAACCGAATTTCCAGGCTGCTGCTTCTTTCTAGGGAAGGCATGGCACTTGACTGACATTGACCACCTCGCGGAAATCATTCAGGCCCACTATCAACTTGTATTTAAACCAATGCTCTATCGCTATTTCCTATTTTACAGGGACATCAATGCTTCCTGTTTACATACGAGCTTCCAACCCTAAATCCCACATCTCTCCACCTGGGTACTCCTGTGGGGAGCTTCCTGCTCTCCCCCTGGGTGGGGGGATGAACTGTTGGCCCCCTTCTTAGCACCCTCGATGGCATCTGCCCCACCTGCCTCCTACTGGCTCTTTTCAGGTGGGAAATAAATTTGGTCTTCATTGTAATGCAAGATTGCTCAATTCTGGTTTTCTAATAGCATGTTGTCAGGTTTATTATTTTTTTATTTTATTTATTTTATTTCTTCTTATTCTTCAATTTGACCAGAGAGAGACAGAGAAACAGAAAGAGCGAGAGAGGGAGTGAGAAAGCAAGTCACCAGGTCTAAGATTTGCTTTTTTTAAAGAATTGTTTTATTTAACTTTTTATTTATTTTTGTATTTATTGATTTAAATTTGACCAGAGAGGGACAGAGTTGGAGAGGGAAAGTGAGAAAGCAACCCACCGGGTCCGGATGCAAACCACAGTCAGCCATGTGGGAGTCCAGTGCCTTAACCACCATGCTACCTGCCGGCCCTGTTAGGTTTACTCTTAAGAATTCATGGAAAGAGAATAGGACAGACGCAGTTCATTATTTGGAGATTTTTCCATTTTTCTGGTTTGTTTTTAACAAGAACATGAATTCATTTTTATTTACTTTTCATTATCTTAAATCCTTGAGGGTTACAGCATCCCACGGATTCTGTGTCCAGTGGCCTTAGCAGGAAGGTTGCTTTGGAATTTGGCTCGAACCATGCCACTGTTTCCATGGGCATGAGTAACCTTTCCCCAGATTACTCTGGTTTTATTTGGTTTGCCACCAGGAGTCACTGTGTTGCTTTTTGCTTTGTACACATAAGCACGCCCCTTGCCTAAATGGAATTCTGTTTCATCTCAGCACAAACACCTTTGATTTTAAGACCTGTATGCTCCCTTTGGTTCTTGAGACCTCACTTATAGTCAGCAAAAATGATGTTGGACCACAGCCTTCTCAACATATTAGGTTGCTGGAGAAGTCATGATATATTTTCCTGTTTTTCTATGCAAAAATGCATCATGACTTTCCTGAGAATCCAATAGTTGCCTTTTAGAAGTTCTATGTCTGGCAGGTTTCCACAGGCTCCAAGATGGTGGAAAGAGGTTTTCGTTTGTTTGTTTTTTTGCCATAGGGCATATGTGCTTGCCAGAGACAGAGAAAGTGAGAAATCCCATGCTGTAATCCCTGTTCTGCCCCTGGGATTTGGGGTACATATGTGCATGAACCCAGCGTGATTTTCAAGCCACTAGGTCTGATACTTGAACCACAGCCAGCCATGTTGAAGCCCAATACCATGCCACCTGCTGGTCCAAACTTTTTGGTTTTTAATTGCTAGGACCACATGCACACACACTATACATCTATAGGTGTATCTATAGATATATAGACACACACACACTATATATATACAATAGTACCTCCCAATGGGGCATGGTCGTGTCCCAATTCCTTCTCCATTTCTCCATTCTAACAGGATTTGGGGCACATCCACACACACCTGGGGTGTTTTTTAAGCTGTTGGGGCTGGGATTTGAACTGCAGACAATTAGACATGTGGAATCTGGCTCCATTTACCACTAGGCCTCCTTAGAAGTAGGCCAGCTTATCATGTGAGGCCACAGAACCAGCCCAGTATTTGGAGTTTTCTATCACTACTTTCAAAGCTCTGTGGACTGGCCAAGAAACCCGCTGCTGGTCATCATTAACCTCATAATCTAGACAGCGCTAATCTTGCACAGAAAAATCCTGCAGCCACAGACCTGGCACAAAATGCCATGTGCCGGGAACCAGCAGTTAGCATAATGGCTATGTCGCTGGACTCCCATGTAGTCGACTGTGGTTCGCGTCCCGGACCTGGTGGCTTAAAACTCACGCCAGGCGCGTGTGTGTGCGTGCCCAAGATCCCGAGAGGAGAACAGAGGAGAAGGGATTGTGGCGTGACCATCCCCCCTGGGGGGTGATTTCTCGCTTTCTGTCTCTATGTCTCTCTCTGTCTGTATGGCG